CGCGTGGACTGCTGCTGTCTGGGGAGCAGGAAGGCCGCAATTTACCAGATGCGAGGCTGTTAGGGGTTCATTTCCTGAAGCAATGAATTAGCGGCTCTTTTTCCCCCCGTCACAGAAAATTGTCACCAAAATAGTCCGAGACACAATGGCAAGTTCAATTAATGTTCTGTTCCTTCAAAGAGGGCCCAGCTGAAAGATGAATTGACTGAGAGGCAAATTGGATAGGAAATTACCCAGCTCCAAAGGGCGGCTACAGTAAACATAATTTTGTTTTCTATGTTCCATATCATAAATACTTCAAAAAGTTACAGAAGAATTACTCATTTCTACTGGTCGAGATGAGAGATCACTGGTGGTATCTTCAGTTCTGCTTGCTCTGTATCTCCGGAAGAAAACATTTAAATTTCACCTCTAAAAAAGTAGCAGCAGGAAGATCAAAGTTCAAGGGCACAAAATACTGTTCTAGTCGGAATAGTGTCTTGGGGACAAAGAGCAGAGCTAGGAATCCTGGAATCCTGAGCCTTAACATGAGTTTACTATTTTAAATATTATTTCAGTGTACATCCAGTAGGTTGTATTTAATTTTATATGAATATATTAATATGTTAAAAAGAAGTATACACTTATATCTACCTAGAATTTACCTTATTTGATAGTATATTCTTTTTAAATTCATATATTTATTTATTTATTGTTCAAGAGAGCATATTCTGGACTTACTCCATGAGGGCCACATATTCTCTTCTAATTTCTGGGTCTCCTGCACCCCTCTTCACTCCCTGGCGGGTGAGTGGCTGGTCCCATATACTTTCCCCCTCACAAGTATTCATGTGTGTTCTCAGTGCCCGAAACACTGACTCCACCATCCCACTGCCTTATATTTTCATGCAGAATCCTTCCATTTCCAAGATCTGGCTCCAATTCTATACCCAAGTTCCTTCCCATTGCTTTTTAGCTAGTCCATCAAGAACACTTTAAAACACATTCAGAATCACTCAGCAGACGCAGAAATAGGGGACCGTGTATGGCTCGGGCTCACAGAAACTATTCTGTTTGAGAAACAAGAACAGAGAGAAGAATGCTTTGGGATACACACTGTGAGCCCAAAGTAAGAGCTTGAATACTGGAGGGACTTAGCTTGTTCATGTGGAACAGAAAATGGCCCCCCACCTCAGTCATTACTTATTTAATTCTATCACACACCCGTAAATTGAGTCTTCCTAAGTGACGTCATCAGGTGCCTAAGAAAAACACAAATAAATCAACGTCAACACACTTTTATTTATTTGTTCAAAGTTTAGGGGGGAAATGACATCACAACATGGGTTCTGATTATGAATGAAGTGCATTGAAAAAGCTTTACCTCAAAGAGCGTGTGTTGGCAGCTCCACATGACGTCATGTGATAGATACAAGCAGGATCTTATGTTGATCTAAACTAATATTTTATTGCCGTTGTATCAAGTATGTTAAGCCTCCTCTTAAGGACTTTAACAAATGTTTACCTTTTCTAGGCAATTACTTAACTTTCCAATTATCCAGAAAGTGAGCTCATGTGGAGGGCAAAATATACTAAATAATCCGAACATATGGCATTAAAAGCCAGAGAATTTTGGTTTTGGCCTGTTTGCTTGTTAATATTGAGTAGGAAGGCATAGACTTGACTTTGAGCATTTTGTGAATTACAAAGCTGCTCTTTTTATTTGAGACCAGCTGTGCACTTTTCTTTCAATTCCATCCATCCACACATATGGATTTTGACCATCAGTCATTAAACTCCAGCAACATGTGAAAAGGCGTAGTTGTACTGTTCTCACCCGGATAGACCGTCCAGAGTTGCTTTTTGTCTGTCTGTTGTCACTGCTTGGAGAATGGGAATTCCTGCGGTTAGCAAAGCACTCTCCTTGGGATTCTACCACCACTCTAGGCAGAATTTTCGCTCTTCAGAACAGTGCCAAAATAATCAGTACCACTGATTACTGACCAGATTCCTTGATCAAGGTCAAGTCAGATATAGCCTCTTTCAGTTAGGGGTCTCCTTTCATTAACTTACTTTTCAGGGGTATCTAAGGATACAAATGGAAGCTTTACTCAAATATCCACATCCACAGCATCAGGATAAATGATAGGACAAGTCTTCACTCATATCCACTGCCGGGCCTAGGAATCCAGGTGCCAGGTTGTGAGGTGAGATGCACGCCGGCCTTCTCGATCAATGATGCATCTGCTGGGCATCTAAGCTCCTGGCACTTGTTTTGCTCTTGATGCTTTCAAGATGTTCTTCTTGTTTAGTTTTTAACATTTCAATTCCGGTATGTCTAGGTGAGGATCTCTTTATGTTTATGCTATTTGGAATCCACTGACCTTCTTAGATCTATTGATAAATATTTTTCATAAAGTTTTCAGCCATTATTTCTTCAAATTTTTGTTCTGTCCCTTTGTCTCTTCTTCCCCTGGGACTCTCCATTACATCTAGATATCTATGCTTGGTGGTGGCCCCCCGGTGCTCTGAGGCTTTGTCCAACTTCAATGTTTTCCTTCTCTTCTTCAGGTTGTATCAATTGTACTGATTCACCTTCAAGTTCATTGATTTTTTCTTCATTCCTCTCAAATCTACTGTTGAGCCTATCTAGTGAAAATTTCATTTCGATTACTGTGTTTTTCAACTCTAGCATTTTCATCTGGTACTTTCTAACAGATCTGATTCCTTTATTGATGTTCCCCATAGATTGGTCATTGTCAGCGTATTTTCTGTTGATTCTTTAATATGTCCTTTGAGTGTATCAACAATAGATGCTTTGAAGTCTTTATCTGCTAAATCCAACTCACAGAGCCTCTAAGAGTCTGTTTCATTGACTGCTTTTTCTCCACCAAGTATGGGTCACACTTCTCAGCCTTTTGCATGCCTCATAATCTTTTACTGAAAATTGAACGTTTCGGGTAATATAACAACTCTGGCTCTGATCTTTCTTTTTTTCTCTCCTCCTTCTTGCTGGTTTTTGTTCACTTCCTCTTTTTCCTATTTTATTTTTTAAAAAATTAATGACCTTAGACCTAATTGGCACAACCCATCATGCTTATAGTGTGTGCTTACCATTTCTGCTCAGATATTTTTAATTCTTATTTTGATTTTTTAGCCCAGCCTCCTGGAGGTAGCCCATGTGTCTGCATAGCTTTAGTGGCCAGCAGATGAGCAGTCACAAGTTGTGCTCAAACACTTCAAGTCCATGACGCTTCCACTCTGACAGTGGATCTGTGTTTGGCCTGGGGAGCACCTTCCAAGTCTGAGCAGTTTCTAAGTTGGACCCAGCTCCTACTTGCCTCCTTTCTTCTGCTGAGAGGAGACTCTCAGGTGTCCACCTCATGAGCACAGAGGCTCATAGCCACCCAGGGACATGAGTGCTTGTCAAGACTCTAATGGCTACCTCCTTAGTGAAGCTCTGCTTTTCACAGCTTGAGGGATTGTTTTTGTCCAATTTGTTCAGCTTTACAGTGGTTTTAGGGAGAGAGGATGTGCCAGTCTCTTTATACCTCCAGATCTGAAGTTCTATCTCATACTTGATGCTACAATCAAGCTCTTTTAGAGATTTGAAAGCTTACCTTTTACCAGTGACACTGAGCATCATTTCTGGAGGAGAATGGTCAAATATCAGGACAATATGAATCTTAACTTGAGCCTAGTAAAGAGAGGCACAAGCATTTCAGTTTTATAAAATGTTGAAGACAAATACTAGCTAATCAATTCCAAATCCCTACGTACCATTATGGCCTTTCAATTGATAATACTTCCCAAATGCTTTTTAATGCACAGCTGGAAAGTTGCATAGAAAAAGGCTGTAATCTTTCAATCTCGTGGAGCTGGCCTCCTTGTGAGGGACATTTGAAAATGCCTTCAGACGAGAAACACTGTAACAACCGTGAGTCCGTGAGGACACCTCTACCCCTGTTCTGGTGGCGGGGTCGGCACAGGTCAGCTCTCCAGAGAACAGGCCTCCTGGCCCTGCGGTTTTCTGAAGAGTCAACAGAGTCAGTAGAAAACACCATTTGAAAGTGCCTAATAAGTGAACAAACCGCGGCACCAAATACATACAAGACAGGGTGAGGGTTTTGTTTGTTTGTTTCTTTTTACTGCGGTACTGAGTGAATGTACACTGTGGTTTTACACAAAGTCCCCCCATCTGGACTTTGTGAGTCACTAAGCGAGGTCTTTATGTTCCATTTTCCATCAGCAGTATGTAACCGTGATAGATCTTCTCCATCCAACTTGAACCCTCCACCAGGCATTATAACCCATCTAAGTCATTAAAACAATCGAAAAAAATTTCAAAAGATTTAAACACGGTGGGGACCTAGGCGACTTATAAAACAAAACCACCATGCCATGAAGTTAGGACAGGTGGGCCGACCTGAGGTAAAGCAGTAAGAAAAATCTTTTAAATGTGGCGACTAAACTGCCATTGTATGGAAGCGTAGTTGAGTATGAGTCAGATCTGGGGTCTGCGGTCATTGCTTTTGAGTGAGAACGCCGAGGAGACCGGTGTTCCACTGTGCTGGCCATCGCCATGCTATTTCTACCCCCCGTGAAGTCTGCGAGCTGAATCATTTTCAAAGAACCAGCCGCTGCGGTGAGACTGTGTGCCTTTGGCATGCCCTCATCCGTGTTCTGCAGTTCTTGTCAAGCATTGTCCACTCAGTGGCCGTAACATCAGCTCACAGCATAAAGCGCGCAGATAAGAGCAGCTTACGAGACTCCTGCTCTGTCCACGAGTCAGGCCCCAGGGGCCCACACAGCAGCACCTTCTCCCTTCAGCCCAGGAAACGAGAGAAACCTCCCAGCTTCCACATGAGCCCAGGCCCTCCAATGCCTTTTTTAAAAAAGACTTTATTTATTTTTAGAGGGAGGGAGAAAGGGAGCGAGAGAAACATCGATGTGAGACAGAAGCATCGATCCGAGGCCTCTCATTGTGCTGTGACTGGGGACTGAACTTGCAACCCCGGCTTGTGCCCTGACTGTCATCCCTCTTGTTTCATGGGATGAAGCCCATCCAACTGAGCCTCGCTGGTCGGGGCCCTGCCAGCCGCTGAGGCTCGCTCTTCTCTGCCAGCCGTCCCCAGCCCTCCCTTTTGGAGAGGCCATAAGGACACCTGCCCCTCCCAAGAGAACCCTGGAGGGGCTGCCAGCCACGCTGTCCCGGCTAGCGCTGGGGTACAGTTTGACGGACCATGTCACCTACTGACAATCAGCCAAAGGAAAGGGGCTTTAATTACAATGGAAGTAATTAGGTTGCGAATAAACAGTGACTTCACAGGCACCCTGGGCCACATGCACCGCTACCGAGGCCCACTGCGCCCTGGGAGCCATGCCATAAATCCCATCACGCCCTCTGCACTTAGCATCGTGCCTGACACAGGGTGGCTGTGGATTTAATAAATACTGGGTTGATGAATGGCCGAGGGAAGTGGATGGGTGACTCATGAAGCCTGCTTTCATGTGAAATTTTAACAGTTTTCTTGGAATAATGTAGAAAAACACCTGCCTTTTTATAGGAGTCTGGGCTAGAAATTTTTCAAAATCTTCTTTTGGTCTTTGTCAATGGAATTCTTTGTTTTTTATTTATTAGTTTACATAACTTTTTTTTTTGCTCAAAGTGTGCCAGTTATTTCCCATTTCATTTAGAGTAAAGGTAAAAATACTTATGATAGCCTCTAGGATCCAGCAGCAGCTTTCTGTGTCCTTCCCTTCTTACCTGTCGGACTTCAACTTGACCCCTCTCTCTGGCTCCCTTCCTGCGCCCACACTGACTTCCGTGGTGCTTCTTAGATGCTCAGGCACATACCTGCCTTAGTTCTTTGTGCTAGCTGCTCCGTCTACCTGGGTCCTCTTCCCAGACATGCCTGTGGCCTGTCCTTCCCCTCCCCTCGATGTCACCTTCATGGGAAGGCGGCCCTGACCCCCTGCGTAATACCCACCCCTCTGGTTCCCGTGTTTCCCCTGAGTACCTACCATCTCCTAACACAATGCATAGCTTGCTTACGTATCACGTTTCTGTCTGTCCCTCATGACCCATCTCCACCCCCCACACTGGAATGGAAGTTTCTCGAGGGCAGCAGCTCTACCCACTGCCATGCCTATGACACTGCCAGGCACATAGCAGGTGCTTAGTAAACAGTTGTCAAATGGATTACTGGTCATTAAGGGTTTTGGAGCAGTTATATAGAAGGAGTTGGAAAACTTGTGCATTGTGTTTTAGCTGTCCCCAAACCTCGTTACACACAAAAAGCACAGGGAACCCTTGTTAAAATAGATTCTTGGACCCTTCCATAGAAAATACAGTTGAAACAGTGTAGACTGTGGGGCCCCAGATGATCCTGCTGGAGCCCCTGTCTGAGAGCCCTGGCAACGCTGTGGAAAGAACGGGGTTTTGTCATCATGGCCATCTGGCTTCAGATCTGGTTTCTCCAGATTCTTTACCACCTGGGTGATCTTCGGGCAATTACTTACTGACGCTTCTTCTCTCGGAGCCTGCTTCCTCATCTGTAAGATGGGAACAGATATCCAGTGAAGGAAGGACTGAAGTGAGGAATGGGTCGGAGACCCTCAAAGGGCTATTCCACAAATGACACTCTGCCAGTAAAGGGGGAGGCACAAGACCTGAAACATAAGAGGCATTTCAGGGGTTGATACCCATTCAGTTTTCTAGCTAACAAACGAGCGGGGGGGGCGTGTCCCCTCCGCATTGCAGCTTTCTGGATTTGGCAAGGGCTGAGTGTACTGGAACTTCATCTGGGCTTGGACTATTTCATCTCCCTCCTAGAAGCAGATAAGGACTGGCTAAGACTGGCAAGTAATTTCATCGTTGTTGTGGACTTTGGGGAGAAGTTCCGTGCCACTTGCTCTTTGGAAAGTGGCCTGAGCTGACATGATGGGTACATGGGGATACAAACCAGTGAGTGGTGTGTCACCAGGGTGTTACTGAGCGGTTGTGTCGGAAACGGCCCTGTGCGCTCTCCACTGTGCGGCCCTCCAGAAGGGTTCAGGAGACACAAGAGGAGAATTTAGGCCCTGCTTTAGGAAGAAATGCCATGGTTTAGGAATGCTCACAGGTTCACCACCGCAGAGAAACTAGTTTTCCTGCAACTTTTAAGTTTATTTCCAAGGAATAACTGTGGAGGTATTTTGCAGTATTGAGTAAGTCACCCATCAAGTCGCTCTGATTCTTCTGTGGATAACAGGAACCATTTCCGCGGCACTGCGCATCTCCCACACTGGTCCCAGTGCTGGCCCGCAGTTGGTTTAACAGTCTGGCAATTCTGTGCAGACTGTTATTTGACGTTGTGTGATGGACCACGGCGTACCTGTGGCCTCCTGATTTCCGGTTTCCTTATTTATGACTCATCTGTTCGGAAAGTTCTCGCTGTGGGAGGGGGCGCGGTGCTCCCTGTTTGAAGGCTTCCCTGAGACCAGGACCCGACTGCAGTGTGTGAAGAAAGCAATGAGCCTTTACTGCTCCAGTGACTGGCTCGCCACTTTTAAGGCATGTCATCAAGGAAAGGAACATTAAGCTGGAAAACTGCAGAAAGTGACATATGTACAGCTCAGGGCCACACCCATGCTGAGCCCGCCCTGCAGGCCTCCTTGCTGCTCTTGCCTCATTTATTGCCATTAACACTCTCCACCGAGGAACAAGCAAAGTAAAATTAGCAAAAGTGAATGGAAACCTTCAAGGTTAACTTTTAATACAAAGACAACCGGCTGCTTGAGAAAAAGTCCTGCTTCATATGCCCGCCCCAACCAACAATAAATTATATATTGTTTCAAAGGCTGTTGGCAAAGGAACGCATGTAAGGCACTGAAATCATAATTGGCACTACTGTTTTGGCCGTGCGACCAGTTCTCCATCAGGGACTTATTTTCCAGTTTTTTCCTCTGGGTTGTTGCACTCATTGCTCTAGCAGGATCTAAAGTGAATGGCATGCGCAATAAACGTGCCCCCTCCCGGGCTCACACAGGCATTGTAAAACGCAGAGGCACACAGTGGGAGGCCTTGAAGTGATTCACATACTGACCTTTTAAAAACCAAATGTGAGAGAAGAACATCTGAAGGCCCCGCTTAGCCTGGAATCCCACCCACAGGACTCCAGACCTGAACGCCATGAGCTCAGCCTGGAGCCGCAGGGCAAAGCTGTCGGGCGGGTGTGAATTCTACTTTGGAGAGTCTAGGAAGTGATTTTGCCCACGTTGATAAACATAATTAACTTTTGCTTTTGTGGTGCAAACCTAAGGTATGCAAAAAGAACTAATTAATCAAAGGCCTTTTATTTTTAGCTGCTATTCATAAAGGCCTTGCAAGGAAAAATGTATTTTCAACTGGCCTGTAATTCTATCAGAAAGAAAAGGTGATGTATTTAAATTGGCGTCTGCGCACCCACCTGGTGATTTGAGAGGTCAGTTTTTCTCCTTTCCTCCGACATCAGTGCCAGTAAGGAGCACTCAGCTGTGAGGATGGAGTGGGCCTCTTGTTGTTGATAAGTGGTGACGTGGACCTGGGCACAGGCTCTTGCAAGGCTCTGGCTCTGGAGATAAGTGTGACAGGGACTAAAAGAAAAGAAAAAATTGTGGGAAGCAACTGAATGAAATAAAGTAGCTGATATGCACCAGTGATTGTTTTCCCTTAAAAATTAGACTAGGTGAACAATAATGAATATGACTGAAACGAGTTTGGTTCATGAAACCAGTGCCTTGATAGCTTTTAAAGAATATTAACAATTTAAAGTTTACTCTAACTTAAATCTCAGAAATTGTTCCATTACCACCCTTCCTGCCATTATTTTCTTCCTGAGTTAGTAGCTAGTATCCTATCCCACATTCTCCCTGAATCAGCTTCAGGAAATGAGTCCAACTAATTTACTATAACAGTCCTTGAATTGTTACTCTTGCACGGGATCCTAGCTAGCAACAGAGCCCCAAGTCCTCCCCACTGATACATAAGCCACCAGGTGGGGACAAATCATGGATGGACCCTGACTGGGGTACATGTGCATCCGGGTCATTTCAGTAACAACACAAACATGTAATGAAATTCTTCTGAACCTTACTTATTACGTTATGTTGGGGTTGGATGGTACCTAGGTTATTTTTCATATTTCTTCTCTGATAATTAAGGCACTTAAAGCTATTCCTTTTCCTCTGAAAATAGTCGTTACTATCCCTCCAACTCAAGAGCCACATGACCACAAACTCAAGAAGCACGGTGAACACCAAAGAGGACATGAGAGAAACCCGCAACCAGGGATGTGATACCAAAGCTGCTGAAAGCCAGATGCGAAGGGGGAAATTTTAGCAGAGGTTGGGGGGAAATGCACGTTCTTTTTAAAGAAGACAGTAAGACTGAAGATCGACTTCTCAACAGAAATAACAAAATAGAAGCATCGAAGGAATGACATGTTCAACGTGTCGAAAGAAAATGAATGTCAATGTGAAATTCTGTACATAGCTACAGAATATATGCACATATGTCTGCTACAGAATATATGTAGCATATGTCTGCTACATATATGTATATATGTATATATGTTTATGTGTTTATGTACACACACATTCTTAAAGATAAAAGCAAAATCAAGATGTGTTCAGACTATCCACCATACTCCCCTTTCAAATAAGAAACCTAAAGTAATTGTCACCAGTTGACTAACTTGAAAGCAATTTTTTTTAAAAAAAAGTTCTTTAGGTAAAAGGAACATTAGCTTGGATGGAAACATACAAATGCAGATATAGAGCATCTGAAAAAGAAAATGAAGAACCTTTACCTGTTTGACAAACTAGGATAATAAAACACACATCTGATTTAAGTGCACCTGGAACATTGACTAAAGTCAAGAAAATGCTGGGCCACAGGCAAGCTGCAAGCAGTTGTAGGAGCTGAGATCCTGCAGTACAGCCTCTGACCACCATGAACTTGAAGTACAAAAAAAAAAAACCCTTCAGAAAATCTCCAAATGTTTGGAAAATAACTACAATGAAAACTGAAAAGAAATTTAAATTGAATGGTAGCTAAAATATGACAACTTGTAGAATGTGACTAAAGCCATGCATAGAGGGAAGTGTGCGGCCTTAAATACATATGTTGAAAAGCAGAAAGGCTTAAGCAAATAATTTAATATCTATTTTAAAGAAATAGACAGATTTCAATGAATTAAACCCAAAAAAGAGGGTAGAAAATAATGAAGGTTAGAGCAGCAATTAATGAGATATAAAACTAACTGTGTAATCAAAGAATCAACAAAGCCAAAAGTTGGTTATTTCAAAAGGAAAATTAGCAAGAATAACAAGACTGATGGGGGAGAGAGAGAGCGCACATTCATATTAGCCTCCTGGTAAAGGGGGTCATCACTATATTTTGTGCAGATATTCAAACTATCATAAGAGAAAATTATAAGCAATTATATGCCAGTAAGTCTGAACATTGTAGATCATTTAAAATTCTTAATAAATGTTAAAATAAAATGTACACATTTCTTGAATAACACACCTTACTGACACTAACACAAGAATAAAGAGATAATCAAAATAGTCCTTTTCCCATTAAGGACTTGAACTAGTTATTAAATAATCTCCCCACAAAGGAAACTCTGAGTCCAGATGGTTTCACTTGCGAATTCTCTCAACATTTAAGGAAGCAATAAAACCAATATTATGAAAACTCTTCTAGAGAATAGGAAAAAAGGAACACTTCCCAACTCATTTTATGATGCAATTAAACTTTGATAGAAAAACCTGATAAGAACATTACAAAAAGGAAAATTACAGGCAAATTTATCTTATGAAAGTAGATGAAAAAATTTAAACAAAAGATTAGCAAACCAAACCCAGCATTACATAAAAAGAACAGTACATTGTGACCAAATATGCTTTCAGATTCAAAACTCAGTCAATACAATTTATCACATTAGGGAAAAAGGAAAATCATGTGGATTTTCTTTCATTTATATCATCTTTATAGATATAAAAAACAAAATACAATATCCATTAATGGTAGATACTTAGAATCTAGGAATAAAAGAACACTTTCTTAATTTGGTGAAGGGTGTCTACAGAATATATCTGTATCACATTTAGTTGTGATTTATTGAAAGATTTTCCCTTGATATTGGCAGTGGAGGCAGCATTGTCCCCTCTTGTCATTTCTATTCAATATCCTACTAGAGATCCTAATTAGTGCAACGAAGCAAGAAAAAGAAATGAAAGGCATCAGAATTGGAGAAAGGAATAAAACTGCAGTATTTGGAGACATAATGATTTTAAACACAAAAAACCCAAATGATTTACAGCCAAACTGTTAGAACTATTAAGTAAATTTAAGAAGTTTGTCTCCTCCCAGATCGATAAAAACAAATTGTATTTCTATATACTGCCAATAAACAAACAGAATATTAAATCAAAAAATATATTTATAACTGTTTTGAAAAAGCATATATCTCTGAATAGATAAAAGGTATACATGACCTCCACCTTAAAAACTAAAATCAAGCAAATGAAAAACATTATTGAGAGAATCAAGCTTCCATCAACCAAAAGATGCTCTAGAGTAAAATGGTAGGTCAGAAAAAGGGAGAAAATATTTGCCACCACTTCATTCAATGACAAACTTAGCATGTGTTCTTTAAAATCCTTGCAGTTAGGTAGCAAAAGAAAAAAGGCAGTGGAAAATGGGTAAAAGTTATAGCAGACACTTTCCAAAGGAAAACGTTCAAACATCTAATACAGGTGTGAACAGGTGCTCGGGGGAATGCTCCTTGAAGTACAGCCCACAGCACTGCGCCCCCACAAGAGAAGCTGAGATGGAAAATCTAGGGAATATCCGGTGTGAGCAAGAACACGGAGGAACTAGTTCTTTCATACACACTTGTGTACCTCGGGCGGGAGTGGAAATTGGGAACTAAGTCGACATTTTATTGTGTAGCCAAAAATTAGCATGATCTACAACCCAGTGTTTTCACTGCGAGATGGTCCTACACGTGTGTTGGGAGACATGCACGATCATGTTCATGTCAGTGGGGTTCATGAGGGCGCGTGTGTGCCCACCACAGACCACTCAAATGCCCATCAGCATCAGAATGCATACACAGGGGTGCTTTAGTGGGGATGAGTGACCTTCAGTAGTATGGATGGATGCTGCCCGTGTTGATAATGTTACGCGACAGAAGCCAGAACTGAAGAAGGCCTCAAGCACGCTGGTCCTGCTTCCGTAAGGGCTGGATGCCAGCGGAAACCAGCCACGCGTCACACTGCCAATGCTGTCGTGCATCCGTGTGTTTGTGTGCGTGTGTAGTTTGTCTTTTAAAAAGGTGGAGAATGACAGAGTAACCCCCACACCTCTTGGTAACAGTTTCTTTGTTATTTGCTTGGGGCTTGGTTTCTTTTCTAATTTTCATTTCAATGTCTTTGATATTCGGAAGTAAAACGCCCCGCCCCACACCGGCCTCTAGCCTCGTCTGTCTCATGCTTCGTGGTGCCGGGTGCTGGCTGATTAGATTTTGACTGCTGGACGCAGTGCAGGGAAGACAGGTCTGGCCTCCCTCATATGAAGAAATGGCACCCACCATATCCATGTACCGGGCGGAGCATCGTGCAGCCATTAAATTGAACACGCGTGTGTGTAGGAAGACACATCACAGAACGAGAGGGAGACAGACTGATTTCGAATGCTGCTCCTCGTGTTTCGTAACAAAACTATTGTCTCGAGTAATTTGTGAAGGGGTCCCTGTTATTTTTTAAAAAGATACACATATACATATTTGTGTATGTGAGCATATAAATCATCGTATACCAGAGGGTTGTTTCTAGATGGCAGGATTCATTTCCTTTGATCGTGTCTGCAGTATCTAAAGGTTCTGTAGTGAAGGCAGTGGAGTTTTCTTAAGTAAGTGTGGTACTTTGAGGTGTCACTCATCATCTCTGTGTTCCTCAGTATTGAGGGAGATACCTGTTTTCGCCACAGTCTTTACGCCCCGAAGCAACCACACACGAGAACATTTTACATCGAAAGCATTCTCGCCCCGGCTGGTGTAGCTCAGTGGATTGAGCACGGGCCTGCGAACCAGACAATCGCGGTTCTATTCCCAGTCAGGGCACATACTGGGGTTGCAGGCCGGTTCCCTGCAGGCCAGTTCCCAGCAGAGGACGCATGAAAGGCAACCATACATTGTGTTTCTCTCCCTCTCTCCTTCCCTTCCCCTCTAAAGATAAATAAATAAAATCTTTAATAAAAAAAAGAGAAAGCATTCTCTGTGAGAGTCCACCAGCACCCACAGTGGCTGAAGTAATTGTACCCACAACCTCCAAACCCACGGGCCAGGGCAACCCAGTCTCAGCAACTTTCCTAATTCAGAGTTCAGCAGCTTCAATTCCTTGTGTGTTTTCCAATGTGTCTTCCTTTCCGAAATGGAGCAGAAATGCAGAGTTAGGCCAGGAGATTTCCCTAATTCTGACGACAGACATTCTGAATGTAAAGAAGACCGGGGTCCCTGGGTCAGCACCTGAACCTGAAGCTGCACGCTCTCTTGCATTTTCCAGCCCGCCACTCTCGCATCAGG